GCCCGCGGCATCCGCGTAGACTGGCCGCAGGCTGACAGGCAGCCAGCGTGGCGAGAAGAGCACGTTCCACGTGACGCGGCGGCCCGAGTCGTGGCCGCTCGGACCCAGCTGCGTCTGGAAGCTGGTGCTGCGGTCGTCGCGGGCCGGGTTGTTGATGACCCACGAGGCGCCCCAGGCAGGCGCGAGGTAGTTGCGGGGCAGGAAGGCGCTGCCATTGACATCGAAGAATTTGGCGTAGTGCAGGGGCGAGGCGGCGTGGAACTGGTAGGCCTGCAGCAGGAGGTCAGCCACAGCCCGGCCGTGGCTCGCCAGAACGGCCGAGCGCGCCTGCAGCTGGAACAGCTGCGCCGGTGGAATCATGGGGTAGCGGATGGCGCGTAGAGCCCACTCAGCCACCGCGGCTGGCGGCCGAGCGCGGCCCAGCCACGCCTCCAGCGCGTGGAACAGCTCCAGTTCGTCCTGCAGCACCAGGTCCGAGCGCGGCAGGAGCTGCGCCAGAAGCTCAGGGCTCACGGCGCCCCACTCGGTGCTTCCCGCCACGGCCGACAGGTTCCAGGCCAGGAACTGCAGGCAGCTCTGGCGCAGGGCCTCGTCTCCGGTGCTCACCGCATAGTGGTACCAGCCCACCGCCGGGCCTGCGCCGCCTGCGAGGTGCGCGCGCATGTAGTCGGCCACTCCCCGCTGCAGGGAGGCCACGCCGTACTTGGTGGCCAGCCTGTGCAGGGGGATGGCCTGGACCAGCAGCACTGTCAGTTCGCCGCAGTACAGGTACCTGCGGGAGAGGTGCGGATACGAGGCGGGGTCAGGGCGGGGCCACTCCGCCCCCCACCCCACGCACACAACACACACGCCCATCTTCACTCTGCTCCGATTTCTGAGTCCAGAGGGGACCCTGCCATAGATGGAGAGCTTCGTGGTCAGGGGCACAAAGGGAGCAGTGGGCCCTGAGGCTTCCTGCCTTTTCCTCTCAAGGACTCTCCCATGCCTGTTCTGCTTCCCAGCCTCCTCGGTGGACACATGGAAATAGCATGTGTTTATTGAGCATCTACTAGGTGCCCAGCTCTATGCCAGAACAAAACAGACATGGCTCCTGCCATTGTGCAGTTAACCACCTGGGTTCAGATCCAAGTCCTGCCACCTACTGGCCATGAGTGGGCAAATAATTTAACTTCACTCATCACTGAGCCTTATGTTAACCTAGGAAAGCGGGAGCCGCCTCCACCCCCGGGGTTACTGTGGCAATCAGAATGAATGGTACTCGCTACAAAGCAGGCGGTCACACAGGTTACTTCCCACTCCGCCCTCCCCTTTTCTTGCAGCTCATCTTTCTGACTGTCTCCTCGCTCTCGCTATCCATTATCGCTTGTGCTCACTCACCCTGTCTCCGTCCGCTGCCGTCCCTCTGCTCACCCTTTTTGCCAGTCCCCACTGGCACATGCTCCATGGGGTGTGGCACTGACTGCCAGATACCTGCCCCAACACCCATGTCTCCCCTTTCAGCCCCACATGTCTGCATCTGAGAATA